TTTCTTCCCCAGCCTCCGTGCTGCGCATTAATGCACTATCTCTGGTCTACCTGCTGGTCCTGTTGCTGCTACCCTGGCTTCCAGGCCCCTCCAGACACAGCATACCAGGTAAGGAGTCAGGGTGGGGGTAGTTGGAATAGAGCACAGCTCCTCAGGGCCTCTGACCTTGTGGACTCAGCCCACACCCCCAGGGTGGGAGATGAGGTGTTGGAGACTGGGTGTGTGTATAGCCACAGACTTGGCTCAGTTTTAGCAGCGCTGGTAACCAGTGAGGGGTCTAAGTGTTTGCTTCTTAACTGCAGACCCATAGCGGGTTCAGTCTTTTCTGCTGATTGCTTGTTTTGGGGACTCTGTCTTCCTGACGGTACAGAAGGGGTTATACATGGATTCCCCTGATCTGATGCTGAACAGTCCTCAGAAGGCAGAGGAAGGAAGTGGGCCCTGGTATCCTGTCCAGGAAGGGGGTTCAGGGCCCACACTGGGGTCCACTCCATCCTCCTGCTGAGCTCCCAGGACTGATCATATATCCTCTGCCTGGGAAGGCTCTGTCTAGCTTGTCAATGCCAGTGTGGAGCCAGGTCCAACCTTAGCCCACCTTACTGTATAGGGGGTGGGGGGAGTTAGGCCGCCATGGGCTCCATCAGGGTCTCAGCTGGGCAGGGATGTCTCATTGTTTCATGCCCATCCAAACAATGGATGGTAGGCAGGCCAGCTCCAGAGCTGTGTCCCCAGGAGGGGCTGGCCAGTGGGACCACAGTGAATTAGGGAGTGGACAGGCTGCTACTGTGCCCCAGTCTCCCCATAGGATGGGTCTTGGGGAGAAGACCACTGCCCAGGCAGCTGAGGTGATACCTTAGAGGGGGAGGATCTCCTGACCCTTCAGCCCAGAGCTCTGGTCACCTGTCCTGTAGATGCCTAGTGTCTGTTTTGTGGCATTCAGTAAATGCTCAGAGACCCATCCTCAAGGCTACCTGCATTCCTGAAGTGGAGAAAACTCTCACTTGTCCTCTGGGCTTGGAGGGGGACAAGGTACCCAGTTTATGAGTGTGTCCAGGGGAAAGCTAACATCATAGTGAGAGACCCTACCCCAGGCAGAAGGGGGCACTTGGGCCTGGGCACTACCCTCAGAGGTACTAGATTCAGCGGTTTGGCTGTGTGGAGCCTCAGGATCTAGTTGGTGTCTAGTGGCTGCTGTAACAGGTTACCTGCTGGAAACCATACCTGCTGGCTCTAGAGGTCAGACTCTGAGTAGCTGAGGGAGCTGCAGTTGGGAATATGAACCTGGCTGTGTCTCCCCAGGAGGCTCCGGGGACCCAGTCTCTCTTATTTCTAGGGGTGTCCTTGGCTCACCTCACCTTCCCTTAACGTGTCAGAGGGCCACTGAATTCTTCCTGTGTCCCATGGCCCTGTGTCCCTCTTCGCTCCTAAGACCTTGATGACAGGCAGCTATTAATGTTCCAAGACAGTCTCCCCTTGTCCAATGAGCTATGACCTCAGCCCCACCTCTGCCTTGACCTCTTTTGCCATGTGAGTCACATGTACACAGGGGGCAGAGATCAGGCAGGGATGTCTTTGGGTCCTTTGTTCTGCCAATCACAGGAATGAGAGAGCACCTCCTGCCCAGCTCAGTGTGCTTGGGAACCAGGAGTCTTAGAGCATGAGCAGGATTTAGAGGT